CCTGTTTTTCGGGCTGCCTGACCGACACGGGCAGGCCAAATGTCTGCTTCTCCTGCCACTGCTCCCTGCCTGTGTCATCTAGCTTGGTGACAGGACTTGGGATTGGAAGGGCAGCAGGAGAAACAGGGAAAGATGGTTATTTATCTGTTACCTCTTGATGTGTGGGGTCAGTGACCTGGCAGATAAAGAGCCATCTCCTCCACGTCTGCTGCCACCCTTTCCTGCTTTATTGGGCAACCGGGTATCAGGGCTGCAAGGGGGCTGCAAGGGCTAATTCTCAGATATAGCCACCTCTCCAAACTCAACGTCTCCCCAAGTCGCAGCCCTAGCCCACGTAAGGGAGAGTGATTAGGGACTGTGGTTCCCACTCACAGATGATGCTCAGTGGGAGAGGAAATTGAACCAGGAGAATCCATTCATCATTTATGTTCACCTGCCCCATATAGAAACTGGAAGGGCAGTGCCCTTCATCAGCATCATTACAGTAGTGTGGCTAAATAAGATTGGGCAGCAAGGTAGCAAATTTAATGCCAGCATGCTGGTGAGCTACATTTGAATCCAACTATTTGGCTGTGCCTTTGTCAGGCATGCTGCAATCGCAACTACCGTGCCAGCCCTGCACCGAACAGAGGGTTAGATTACATACCTCTAATATGTCTTCTAAGGATAGTCAGGGGGCAGGGAATGGAGGGAACAAGCCGTGCAAGATGCTGAGTGCTTAATTGTGGTTTAGGGCAATCTATGAAATCACTCAGTGTTTCATTGCACTAAGTATATAAAGTGGATCTGAAGGTTTAAGTAGATGAGGTCCTGTTGAAAATCTGTTGTTCAGGGATCATGTCATAAGGGAAAATCCTACTTTCAAAAATCAGGGTTCAGCAGCCTCAAGTTTCCCAATGAAGATACCAAGTCAGCAAATGAACACTGCAACGAATGTAATTAGACATTCTTCAAGCTTCTGAAATCCATCTCTCATAAGGAAGTTTTGTTTGCAACCTTCTTTTCTATTTTGTGTTTTCCCTGCTTTTCTTTTTTTACCTTTTTAATCTCTGCCTCCTTTTCTCCAGAGAGTCTAGCAAAGCCTTGGAGATGCTTGATCAAAACTCAGACATTCAGAAAGAGTTGATGCTCCAATCTTATACACTCCAATGAAAAGATCTTTTTTGGCATGCAGATACAAGCAGCGGATTAAAACATTGCCTCTGGGTTTCCAGTGTGCAGAACGGAAGAAATGTGGGGTCTCTCTTTGACCAGGTGGGTTCATGGGAGCATTTGCAATGGTGGAAGGTCCAGTTAATGGCAGATGTTCAGACCATCTGTTTGAGGTTCTCTCTGTGCAGCTGGCTTTTCTGCAGACTGTTGGCTCTACATTGCCATGTGGTTGATGTAATTCCAAGTTACATCCATCTTGCTGCTGTCGCCTTAAGCAAATCGCCAGGGTCAATTCTTCTGAAACCGCTGCCCAGGCAGGGAAAGAAATCTAACTAGGAAAGGGCCCCGAAGGTGCACCAGCTCTGTTTTTGACCAGAAACCCTTTTCAAATGTTGTTCCACTACACTGAAAATCAGAAGAAAGGGTTTGCTTTGAACAAAAGAGTTTTGAATTTCAGAGAAGCTGAAATTCAGGTTAGCTTCATATTACTTGATATAGATAACAATGCATAGGAAGAAAGATTGCATGAAGGAAGACTGAACTTCTAGTACACACACTGGCACACATCACCTTTGTGTTTAAATATTTTTATTTCTTGTAAGTTGGTGCTATTTCTGGCCACTGATTGCCCCAGCAAAAACAGAACTATTATTTTTTTCTGGCGATGTTGAGTTGTTCTGCCTGCCTGCTGTCACTCTGCGGATCACCAGCAGAGGGTGCTGTTCCAGGAGACCAATGGTTACTCTTTTAAAGGAAAAGGGGGACCATAGAAGAAAATGGGCCTATGATCTTGAGGACTTGCCTGGATGAAAACAAGGCAGTGCATTGAGAAGAACATTTTGTGGTTTCCATGAGATTGTTAATGGTCAGGCTTCTTTGCAATCCCAAGTAGAGGGCTTGGCTGGGAACATCTATGCTGCTGGGCGGACTGCTGCTGCAGTTCTGAAACGATCAGCCTGGCATAAGAATCTTCCTCATCCAAGCTTGAATTTTTTATTTTTTTTTAAAGTGCAAACACATGTTTAAATGGAGCTAAGCCTGCATCAATGCAGGGCAGCATGAATACCTATTTTTCATCATGTTTAATAAAAACATTGCTTAAGTTTAGTAAAATAAATATGTGCCAAATAGTAGCCAATGCTTTTGTAGCTGATTGAATAATGGGAAGATGGGGTCTAGCTTACATCTTAGGGAGCAGTGTAGGTAGATGCTGTATCATTTTGTCAGAAAACGACAGACACGGGTTCGGTTATCCAGTAGACAGAAGTTTTTATTGGGCACGTTTGCAAAGGTGGGTCCCTCCCGCAGCAATGGAGGAACCCCGAAGCAAGGTCTGACAGGTTTTTATACCCCCTATCTGTCCTCCCCCTCCTACGAGGGCTTGGCTCACAATCTCACCTTTTTTACCGCCCCGGAGCGCCGCTAATTAACCGCAAAACCGCAGACATTCCACTTTCCGAATCCAATCAGCGCAATACACATTCCAATCCCCACTTGACCCGACAGCCGCCCCCTGCCGTTTCTCTTCACTCTGGAGCGAACGTGCCTCTTGCCTGCAGTCGTTCCACCCTCCTGCCGGCCTTCTCCACTCTGATGCGAGTGTGCCTGCTGCCCATCCTCCCTCCTGCCGTCCCCCCAAGGCTGCCCCATGGTGCACAGCGCTCTCCCCTAGCAAACATGGTTCGTTTGAGGCCCTCACTTCTCCCTGCCTTCTCACACATTGATCATCATAATGAAAAGGGCTTGAAACCTTTTTGATAGAGCTAAAAAAGAAAAGCAGAGGAGATGACCAGGCACTCTCCCTTTGTCCTGAAGACAGTCGGCATGAATGTTAACACTTTCTGACAGCAAGAATGGATTAAAGATACTGTACCCAGCTTACAATGGGCAAACTTTTGAAGCTTGTTCTGAGAATACAGTACTGAGAATTTGGAGAGCATGCCATGGGCTCTCTTACAACTTGGTTAGCACAAGAAACTTACTGAATTATGAAATGGCTGTCATAGGCAAGCCTGGCTAGTTTCATTTCCCCAAAGCTAAAGTGTTGACGTTGCTCATGGCCACCCACCTCCAGTGGCTCTCTACCATTCCAGCTTAGCTTTTTCATTTTTCTAGACACTTCTAAACACAGCAGTGAATTGCCACCATTTTTACATTTTAAAATCACTTCTCCACTAGTGACTTAATAGCATCTTCTAGCTAGAAGTCACCCAGCCACTGTGGGCAATATAATGCCTCTTCTCATTATTCCTCTGTTGGCACAATGATGGTTAGACCACTCTAGAAGCTGCATTATATCCCCAGTGGGAATCCTCACTAAGGATGCTGATGGGTTTTAAGTGGGACAGAGAGGCATTCTTTAAAATAAAGATGCTAGAGGCTGATTTTTGCTTTTTGTCCACCAAATACTTCCCTCTTTTTTAACTGAAAACATATTTTTAAAAATTAAGTCAAGAAGGGCAGGGGTCTGGTTGGAAAGTGTTTCTAGACACATTGTCCTCCTGGGCATCAGGCTGTCCTAAGCCACCAGTGGACACTGCACTCTGCCCATTGAATGGGATCTCTGAAGTGCTATTGGATTTTTTCCAGATTAGTTTCCTTCCCAGAGAAGCAGCATGAGCGGGAGGGCAAACAAATTGTTTATCATCTAGTCATGTTGTAAGCATGTCAGTAAAAGTAAAAATACTCCAACATTTTGAGTCTTGGCAGAGTTAAGGGTGGTGATTCGCTAATACTGATTTTTATGCAACCTCATATTGCCTAATTCAACACTTCCCCATGAAATTGCTTTTAGTTCTGAGACATGAGAATTTGGGCTGACTGGCTTATCCCTTGTATAACCCCCACGTCTGTTAGTCTTGGGTAACAGAAGTCACCCTGGTAACCTTTGCTGGCTTGAGTAGCTGCACATTTTACCCCTCGTAAATGTGCCAGGAAATCAAGACGTTAACATTAAACAAAATGTGCATTAAATGCAGGCATCTCCAGGGCCATACAAAACAGAAAGCACAATAAATGATACTGCTTTGTACAGTTTCTGATGGAACAACCTGGTGCTGTCCTTAAGAACAATCATTGTAGCTGGAAATTAGAAGGGGCAGGAATCAGTTTGGTTGACAGTACCCCTCCATGCCAGAATGGGAAGAAGTCAGCGTGATAAACACGTCCCTCGTGTTTGCCAAAATCCCCTCTGATGCCTTTGGGTAGTTATTTATTTTGGCGCTTCTTTCAGGAAACCTCTCGGAATCTAGAAGGCAGCCGAGTTCCAGTGTCACGATCTTTCCTAGCAGGCTACTGAGCGGTAGAACATTCTTCAGAAAAGAAGGGAACGGCTGGCTGGGATTTTCTCTTGCTTTGGAAGTATCCAAGCAGTGCAAAGTGAACTCATATTCACATGGCTAAAAGGTTGCCCACCTTTGATCGAAGAGCTTGAGGTGTGATGGGTTCTGTTTTCCAAAATTATTCTGGCTTAACAAGCACCCAGATTTTTAAACCAAATTCCCATTGGTGCAGAATCCACTCCCATCTTTCAGTAAAGGGAAGCTAAAATGAAATAAACACACTTGGCAGCTAGGAGGATAAAGGTCACTTTACTTTAAAGTTTCCAAAATAGTAAGTCCATAATCTGTTCTTCTAAGTGAAAACACATTCAGAGATTGTAATTATATGCACACTTATTTGGAGATAAGCATTCTTGAAAAAAGACTGAATAGACATGCACAGGACTGGACTATGAATGGACCAAACCACGCAAGGGAAGCAGAGATCTGAACAATTAATTGCATATTGTTTGTTATAAAAGAAAAACTGACTCTCTAATATGATGACACATTTGAAAAATGAATGTTAAGACTGCATAATAACATAGAATGATTACATTTATTTGCCTTCTCAGGTCTGGTAAATTTCTTTCTTTTCTCTCTGCAAACGTATTCCTGAAATGGATGTAATGGACAGAAATCAGCAAGAAAAATTAAACAGATGCAACAAGGGGTTTAGGCAGTGTTCTCACTTTTGCTAGGCTAAGGTTCCACCGGAATTAACTTATACCATTCTGGCTAAGGTCATAGAACTTGGAATGTTGTTGATCCCAGTGCTAGAACAGGGTGCATTATAGCTCTGTTGCCCATCAAAATGGGCAGATTTTTTTTAAAAGACCCCATTTTTTTAAAAAAAAGATGCTTAGGAGCTCTCTATTCATCTGACCCCCACTCTCCCTCCTTCCTTTTCACTTTACCCTCATCATTTCTCTTCTGCCAGTTTGGTCAGCACTGATAGGATGGTCACTTGCAAGAATGAATCTAATCAACCTTTTAGGGATTAAGGACATATTTGACATTTTTGTAAAGAGGATGAGGGCCACCATGATGGGTGCAGGTCACGTATCTGAGTGGTCTTCCTTTTTTTTTTTTTTAAGCCTATTTCAGGACTTCCATTACAATTTTCATTCATTTCTTGCCACAAAATGATGGGAAACTCTGCCAATATTTGGGAGATGTGGTCAGTGAGGTTCTAGTAACCACAAAATGGGGCCTGGGAGCGGCAGATAATTTGAGGATCTCAGGTAGAGCAGCTGTCCCAGTGCTCTTCTTAACAAGTGGTCTTGCGGATATTAGCTGAAACAGAATACTGTCCTGCACAGTTTACTTGTTTTATGATATCCTTGCAATGACTTCAGTAGTAATAGAATGATATTTCACTTGCAATCCAATGGGCTTACATGTGCACAGCATTCATTTGCTTTGGAGCAGATGAGGTTTTCAGTACTCTTTCCAAAATAATAATAACTAGACAACCTGTGACCCGCTGAGTCATCATTTCAGGATATTACCTTACCTAAACAGAGAAACAGAATGACCATGGTCAAAAAGTAGTGGGAATGTGAACGACTTATGACCTGCTGCCAGCTTCCCATTGACTTTGCTTATGGGAAGCTGGCAGAGCATCAGAAATTTTCTGTCCCTTCCTCAGCCATTAAGAGATTTAAAATTTCTGCCACT